CCAAGGCTGGGCCGTGCCCACAGCTCCGCTCCCTGAATCACACTCTCCGTCCCTCCTTCCCTTGTTCTCTCTCTCCTTCGCTTCTCTTTTTTGCCTTTTCTCCCTTTTCTTCCCTCCCACCTCTTTCCTCATCACACTCTTACGTTCCCACCCCAAAACTAAAACAAACCAAAAGAGGCCTTAGGCTGCACTCTCACACTTAAAAATCGGGGACGAACGCGGAGCAGACCGCCTCCGATAAGAGATAAACCCACGAGCGAGAGACAAAGGAAAAGGTAGACGCGAGAGAGAACGCGTGTCTGCTGGATTGGGATTGGGTTTTATTTTTTTTTTTCCTCCTTCTTCTCTCTCCCTTCGAAAGTGGAGGATCCGGCCGGGCCAGTTTGGATATTTATTAAGAAAAAGCCAAAGATAATTAACTTTTTTGTTTTTGTTTTGTTTGCGGGTGCCTCCCCTGCTGGCACTCCTGCCTGCCTGGCAAATTAGACCAGCTCCCGGGGTGCTGGGCTGCGGCAACGCTCCTGTGGGCTGTCTCGAAACTGCCTGCCGGGCCCACCGGCTGCCCACCCAGCCACCCGCCCGGGGCCACTCTATGCCACCTTTGATGCCACCTCCCCGGCTCTTCTGACTTCTAAACAAGCCTTTAGAGCAGGGTAAGTGGTCCGGGTGGGGAAGGGGCTGTGGCCATCACCGCCCTGAAGGAAGGAGGGGTACACCCGTGCCCTCTCCCCCATGGGCAGGGGGTGCCTCCCGGCCCGTTCGGGGCTGCCAGCTTCCCAGAGAGAAGGAGCTAGAAGTGCAGGGGAGAGGCCAGGTGTGGACCGTGCCAACCCCAGCCCTTCTCCCAGCAGAGGGGAACGCCCAGGGCCCAGGGCCCTTGGGAATGCTGTGGAGGAGACTCGGGGCCACAAGCCATCCGTGTTATCCGTCCGCCCTTCACACCGAGCTCCGTCCCCTCTCCTGCCCCCGCCGGCAGGGAGGTGAGAGAGCTGCCGCTTGGGTAAGAAGCCGGTTGCCTCTGGTCTCCTGCCCTAGAACCAGGCCCCGGGGCCTCGCGGTGACCTGAGCCTGCGCCCAGGCCAAGGGTCAAGGAGGTGGCGATTCTGGACTTCCCGGTTAGGGACAGAGCTGAGGGCTCCTCGGGGGAGGACCACCAGGAAGGGAGGCAGGTCCGCTCCCGGGATGGGGTTTGGGGGTGTGGTCTGCCCCTCTGGTGGATGAATGTGCCTGGGCCCAGTCCCCTGCCCTCTGGCCATCTCCCCAGGGGGGCCAAGAGGTGGGCAGCCATGCCAGGTCCCTGCAGGCGGGAACCTGCTCTGGAGCGGAGCACAGCGAGCAGGGCGTTTGTCAAGGATTTTGCTGGCCCCCTGGTTTTTTTTTTGTGGTTTTTTTTTCCTGTGAAATATAAGGATGTGCCATTTTTTTGGTTTCAATTTAGCATTGGAGAATTTTATAATTTAGTAATTAAAATCTCTGATAGGCTTTAGAAATTGCGGCTAATTGAATTTAATGGGAAGATGATTTTCAATTTTATTTGATTACCGGGACCCCTGGCATCGGTATTTATGGGAAAAAAATGGGGAATGTGCTGTGTGGGCTAAGATGGCATAATTGAATTAGGGATAATCGGATTTCTCCGTCATGAATTTCACTATAATTTTCCTATAATTTTCCATTAGATATCTAGTTTACAAATATTCACAAAGAAATGAAGCTCTTTCGGAATGGAGATTGCTGGCTAACAGGATTACGGGGCCGAGCGCTCGGCTGTGCCAGCCCCTCTGCCACCCTAATGCAATCCTTGGGCCTGCCTTACGCTCAGCCCCAGCCCGGCCCCGGCCCCTCGCTCCCAGCCCCCCCGCTCTGCCGCTCCCCTCTGCCCTTTGCCTCCTTCCTGTCTCCCTGCTGCCCTGACACCCACCCTCCCGTGGCCGCCCCCTCGGGGCCCTGGCAGGCTGTCCTGTCCCGGTGCCACGGTGTCCTGTCCACAGGCTGCTCGCTCGCCGCTCTCCCTCCCGCCCTCCCTCCGCCAGCCCGGGGAGCGCGCACACACATACACACACACACGCAAGCACGCGGGCTCCCTCGCAGGTGCGAACACGCTTGCTCGCATGCACACACCGCCTTTGGCCGAGGCTTCCGCGCCCTGGCCCAGCCGCCCGCGGAGGGAACCAGTTTATTGGGATCCCGGGGTGGGGTGCGGGAACAAAAGGAGCTTTGTTCGAGTTTATGTGAAAGTTACGAATTCAAAATGAGAGCAGATAAAGCATGAGATACCCGGTGTGTCAACAGGCTGGCGAGTGAGAAGGCCGCAGGCTGGGGAGGAGGGAGGGAGAGAGGGAGGGAGAAGGAGTGGGCACGCCGGGGCTGCGAGGGCTGCGAGGGGCCCGGAGCCAGCGGCCGGAGCCCGCCTGGGAGCCGGCTGCTTCCCCGCAACTGTGAGGGGCCTGGGGGGGATGGCTGCCCCCGGCTCCGCTCTCTCCCTCGGAGGCCAGGTGTGTCAGGAGGAGCTGGCGGCTCTGGGCCCGGCGCCTCGAGACCTGGAGAGGTTGTGTCACCGGGCTTTTCGACCCCCAAACCCCAGGCACCAATGTCCTGGCTGTGGCCTGGCCTCGGGGGCTAAGGAGGTGTCAGCACGTCAGGATCCTCAGGTTAGAAATGGGCCACAGATGCCAGCGTTCTGGCCTCTCCCCTTCCTACGAGCACCCGCCCACAGGGAGGGAGGCAGAGGTAGAAACCCGGGACCCCTCCAGCCCGCGGCCTCTGACTCACCCTGGAGACCTCAGGGGCGCCTCAGCCTTCTCCGCAGACCTCCTCACGTCAGGACACAAGATGGCCTCGCTCCTGGGCCTCTCCGGCCTGTTCGAGGAGGCCCCACGGTAGCTGATGGTGGCCATGGCCTTGGCAGGACAGAGGCTCTCCAGGCAGCCCCCGCCTCCCTCCCTCTGGCCGGCCCTGCCTGCTTGCCTGCCTTCCCGCTCTCTGAGGCCATTCCTCTCCAGTCCTGGTCCACCAGAGGCCTCAGAAGTTACCGTGCAGCTAATCCCGGTGGCCTTGCCTCCGGGTCACCATCAGCAGGACTCCAGAAGGGGCCGGCAGGCCGTGGGCAGTACATGCAGGGAGCTCCCCATACACGAGGTGCCTTCAAATGCACCCAGAAATCATCCGTCTGCCCCTACGTCTTCAGGCTTCCGTCTGCAGCCCATTGCCCAGATGGGGAAACGGACACTCAGGATTGACTGAGGGGATTGACTCTCTGTCGTCACAGCCCAAAGCTGCAGACCTTGCTTTGGGAAGTCACAGGTGGGAGCACCCCGAGGCGTGTGTGGACCCCAGAGCAGTCCTGGGCCCAGAGATGCCCCGTCTGGGGTCCCGCGTGGGGAGCAGCTCATGGCCCTCTTTGCCCGGCTGCCCGGTGCCAGCCGCTGTCCGAGCCTCTGGGTCGCATGTGCCTTGGTTTCTTTAAAGAGCTCTGCCCCCTTATGCAGAGTTTGGGGGACAGAGGAACTCAGTGCCGCATCGGGGCCTCCTCCCGCTGTTCCTGCCTGGGATGGGGCAGGCCCGAAGGGTGGAGGGCTGTGCCACCACCAGGAATGCCAGGAAGGCAGGGAAGTAGGTGAGGGATGCTAACCTCCGGTGAGGCCATTGGGAACCAAAGAGCAATCCAAGAAAAAAGAAAAAAAAGGGAACGTGGGAGAAGGAGTAGACTGTCAACCGACGCCTTTGCCCAAGGCCTCCGTGGGCCTTGACTTTGCAAAACAAACATTGCAAACAGCCCGGCAGGGCGCCCTGCTGCTGGATGGCGCCCAGGGAGCGGGAAAGCCAGGGTCCTGTCTGTGGAAGGCGGAGGGGCGTCCCCTGAATCAGGAGGTGGACACAGGTGGGAGGATTGGGGGGGAGGGTGATCAGGTGCTTCACCAGCACAGCTCCCACATTCCCGCCGGCCTGGCCGCCTGCTTCCCTGGGCCCCAGGCCCAGTGCACAGCTTGGCCACTCAAGTTTAAGGAATCTCAGCTCACACAGCCACAGCAGGCAGTGGCGTTTGGGGGCCATGGCAGAGAGACCCACCAAGGTGCCTTATGGGAGAGGAAATAATGAGGGCCAAGGAGTGGGCAGAGGCGCCCTTAGCAGATGGGGGACCAAAGTGATGACGCTCAGAGAAGGACAGAGGCGTCCTCCCTGGCGGATGAGGGAGGAGCCCGCAGCTTTGGGGCTGGGGCTGGACTTCTGGGCGGGAGGAGGACGAAGGCCTGAGCAGGGCTGTGCAGTTGGCCCAGGTGGGCTGGGCACCAGGGCCATTTTAAAGGCAAAGCCAAACCCTAGCGGGGGAAGCCGGGTCGGGGTGGTAGTGATTGGGGGGGTCTACCCCCGACCCTCCGCCCCCCCACCCCCCCCGCACTTCTGGAGCCTGAGCTGCGCCGGCGCTAGTGTTTCCCTGGCACACCACGCCCCACCGCCCGGAGTTCTCTCTTCTTCCACCACCGCCACCACCACCACCACCACCACCACCACCACGAGGTGCGGGCACCCGCTGGAAAAAAAAAAACCCTGGGACCCCCGCACCCCGAGTCCGCGGGTGCGCGCAGGGCAGCTCGGGAGCGCGCGGCTGGGCTGCGCGTCCACCTGCGCCCGCGCGCGGAAAAGTTTGCGCGGCCGCGCGCCGCGATCCCGGGCCGCCCGGCGCCTGGGAGCCCGCGCGCCGCCGCCGCCGCCGTCGAGTCGCGCCTGCGAGGCCGGAGCGCGGAGGGGAGCGTGGGAGCGCGAGCCTGGCCGCCCCCCCTCCCTCCTCCCTCCTCCCCGGAGTCCGGGGTTTGGGGATCACTGGGCCCGAAGGCCGGTCGCCCAGCCGGTGCGCGGCCGCCCGGTGCGCGCGGGGAGCCGGCGGGGGCGCGCAGGAGCCGGGGAGCGGGCGCGGGGCGCGGGGCGGCGGGCGCGCCCATTCACTCCGCGCCGCGGGCCGCGCTCTCCTCCACCTGCCGGGCGGCGGGCGGCGGGCGGCGGCGGCGGGCGGGCCGGGGAGGCGGCGCCGCGGCCGCCCCGCCAATCACCCGGCGCCGGGCAGCGCCCCCGGCCGCCCCGCCCGCCGCGCCCTCCTGCCAAACTGTTACCCTGCGCGCCGCCGTCAGGAGCAATGACATCAGGGCTTTACAACAACTTGTTATTCGGGGAGCAATCAGTTGCAATTAGGCATTAATTAAGTATTATGAAAGTTGATTATTTAAGTGAATTCGGCTTTCGACTCTCCGACTATGGTGAGTGCCCGAGCGGGGCGGGGGAGGGCCGGGCCGGGGGGCGCGCCGCGGGGCTCCGACCGGGACGGCGGGGGGCGGGGGGCGGGGGGCGGGAGCCGGGGCCACGGGCGGGCGGGCCGGCGGGGGCGCCCCTCTGCGTGGCCGGCCGCCCCCCCCCCCGGACCCGGCCGCGTCTATAAATAGTTTCTCTTTTAGTTTTTAATAAACTCGGGAGCGGAGCGGGGCGGCTCTGCGTGCGCGATGCCCGCGCGGGAGGGCGCCCGGGGCGGGGGGCAGAGTGGCGCTCGGCCTCCCCGGGCCCCCGGCGAGGTCCGTCCCCGGTCTCCCCGGTCCCGATCGCGATCGCCGGGGGCCTGGCCGCCCCTGGACGGGGGGCGCGGCGCGCGGCCGGGGCGCAGGGGTGCGGGGCGCGGCGCCCGGCGAGAGACTAACCAGATCCTCTTTTTCCTCCCCTCCGCCCGCGCCCGCGCTCCTGGAAGAGTTTGGGACCAAAGCGAGGAGCATGGATCTCGGAACAGGTACGGCGGGGCCGGTGGGAACCTGGGGAGGGAGGCCGTTTCGCTTTTCTTTCGCTGCTTTTACGGAAGTTCTTGTTTTTAGCCCAATGGGGAGCGCGGGGCGGGGGCCGGGCCGGGGGCGGGGGCGGGGGCGGGCCGGAGAGGGTCCCAGCGCCGGGCTCCTCGCCCCGGTTTCTGGATCGGGAGCAGAGGCTCTGGTTGTTGTTGTTTGCTCCTTGCTTAGTGACTATGACTAATCTCGTGCTTGTCATTATGAAAGAAGGGAGGGGAGCGGGAGCGGGGGGCACCCGGACAGAGGGTTTAGGGGTTTTCTGTGGGGGTTTTGGCTCTCCGTCTTTTGAATGGCTCCGTGTGTTTTCTGTGTGTGTTTCTGCCCACCCACCCGGCAGAGATCCCTGTGTCTGGCTGTGGGGTGTGTGTTTTTATTTTTTTAGTGGGGGGTGGCTTAGTTTTTGAAAGCAGCGTCCTGTTGGGAAAGGTGGTTCGTCTGGTTTCGGGGCGACTGTCTCAAGGTAAAGGAATTTAATTTATTTGGGACAAGGCTGTGTCGGATGATCAAGCTGCTTATTATGGCTAATGAGTGTTTTTCACCTGAGAATCCGTGGGATGAGGTGGCTGTTATCAGTTCAAAGTGCTGGGCCCAGGCCTGGCTTCCATCCCCCTTCCTGGTCCCCACCCTGGGAGGGGGTAGGCCAAAACAAACGACCGAATGTGGACTCTTGGGTTTTGAGGGGTGCCTAGCGTGGCACCGAGGCTAGGGTTCCAGAGAGCATGGTGCTGGCCTGGCCAGAGTGTACCCCGAGATCTGGGTGTTTTCTTGGTTTTAATCGCATTTTACTCCGTATTTCTCTTCATTTCCCATCCGTGATTCTAGCCTCAGTCCCGACTGAGATTTACCACCAGGCTTCCCAGTTAGCCCTCTCCACTGAAACCAAATTCTGGCCAGGACCCTCCAATCCTAGGCTGGCAAAAGCCGCTGGCTTCTTCCTAAACATTTTTTAAAAAGACGTCAGTGATAAACAGGTTGATAATTCAATGGGACTGACCTCTGAACCCTCTGCTCCATTTATAGATGGGCGAGTGGTGTTGGTGGCTATTAGAGTTGCTGTTTATAATGGGCCCAAGTTCATAGCATTGGCCCTTGGGACCCGTGCGCTGACATTTGACCTCCTGAGGTCAAAGGGGATCGGACAGAGAGGACCGGGGGCAGCCGTGGGGGGCGCAGGGGGACCTGGTGGTTGGCTTTGAGTAAGGGATGTGTGAGGGGAAGGGGTCGCTCCCTGAGCGTTAAGACTGTGTCCAGCAGGTGTGTGACCTAGGTGTATCCGATGGGGAGGTCCTGGGGACCTTTGTGCCCAGGTAGGGTGTGACACCCCCTGCTGGGCAAAGTGGTGAAGGTGCCCAAGGCTCCTGCCCCTCCCTGCCCTCCCCTCCCACACAGAAGCAGCCCGCCCCCACCTCTAATCGGGAGTCTCATCGCCTCCCTCTCAGGCCCCAGCCCCTTTCTTTGGAACAGGGTCCCCACCCAGCCCTGTAAGGGGCAGACCTTCCCCATGGGCTGGGGAAGGCACCACTCCCTGCCGGGGGCCGGGCCTCGGCCTGTGGGCGGGCACAGGGCACCCGGGCATTACTCAGCTGGAAGGTGGGTCCTCCCTGTCCCTCCTTCCAACCTGGGTACCAACTGGAGCGGGCGTCCACACTCCCGCCCTCCACCAACCAGCCTGCCCGGTCTGCGGTGGGGGCAGGACGGCGGAGCCCTCCCGCGGGGTGTCCCTGACGCGGGAGAGGGCTCCCTGAGCTTGTGGGTGGCAGAACCTCTTGCACCATCTCTCCGGGGCCCGAGGGAGACTCGCTTCTCCCAGCACCCGGGGCCCGGCCCTGGGAACTGTTCCTAGAAGCCAGAAGGGCCCCTGAGGTCAGCCAGGCCCTCCTGGAGCCGGAGGGAGGCGCTCCCCGCAGGCCCCACGCCTGGACTCTGGCCACTTGGCGAGGGGAGGTCCAAGGTGCCAAAGTTCTGCCTGTTTCTCTGATACCACCCCGGCCTTTTCTTTGAACTTGGAAGTTGCACGTAATCTCAGAACTTCAGAAGAAAGACGTTTTCCCCCGTCCACACGAAAAGGGAAGTCAGGTGGGGACTCTGAGATCCCCTCTGAGCCTCCTCTGGCTACTCCACGGCCACCTTCCCTGCACCCCCAGAGTGCTCTCCTGGACACAGCCCGGGCCAGGGGCCTTGTGTGTGGTCAGGGCTCATGCTGGGCCAGTTCCGGGCCCTGGGCAGCTGCCACCCAGAGCCTCTGTAGCACAGGCTGCAAGCACCGGCCCCGGGTGACTGCGGCTGGTACCAGGCACCCAGGAGGCACTGGATCCCGGGTCAGGACCACCTCCGGCCTCGGCCCTGGAGCACTCCAGCCCTAAGTAGTTCCGTGGTGGGAGGACCCAGCCTTCTCACGAGGGGACAGCAGGATCTCCGGACCCTCGGGGGCCATGCGGGCCCCTTTCCCCCTGCCACAGTTCAGCCAAGGGCCGGATCAATCTGGACGTCTTTAGCAATAAAAAATGCCGATGTCGTCCTAATTCACCAGGCCCCGAGATGACAGCAAATTTACATTTTTTAATTAAACTAGCAGCCAGTTTTTATGAGAGGGGGTTGGGTTATGCAAATCAAATGGTTGTGTACGGAAGATTAGGAGAGTTTGGGAATAAATTCCACAAATGCTAATAAAAAAATAAAAAGGGGAAGAGAAAGAGAGGGAGGGAGGAGAGAGGAAGAGAGGAGGACAGAGTTCCATTAGGCCCTTTCAGTGTGATTTCCCTGGGGCCGGGAGCCGGCGAGGGGAGAGAGGAGGCAGGAGGAAGCTTTCAGGCCCAGGTACATCCCTCCTCGGTGGGAAGCTCCCCGGGATTAGGCCCCACGAGGCTGCGTTCCAGCCAGGACCGCGGAGGCCGGTGGGAGTGGCTGCGGACCAGCGGGAGAGCTTTGGGAAGGAGCCTGTCCTTGGTTTTCTGGGATCTGGCTAGAAAGCGTCCCCCTCTCCCCAGGGGGAACTTGAGAGGAAGGGGAGGGGCTGTTCGGGGTTAGAGCTGTCCGTCAGAGGGCCCGAGGTAGGCTCTGGCAGGTAAAGGGCCACGTAGGCACGTTCACGGGGGTCGCCCGACCGCAGGGGGAGCCGAGGAGGGGGTGCTCTGCCCACCTGGCGCCACGGCCGCAGCCATGTTGCAGAGGTGGGTCAGCGGGAGGAGTCCAGGCCCCCTGCGGTCTCCCTGGGACTCCAGGCCGAGTGCCCTGCCTTACACACAGGCCCCCGTGGCCTCCTGGCCCGGCCTCGGCGAGGAGGAGGCCCGGAAGGATGGGGTCAAGGGAGCTGGGCCAGGTTGGCATGGTGGCTCGGTTCTCGGAGTGGAATTTCCTAGTAGCCACGTGCTTATAGGGCACATGGTCTCGAGGTAGGAGAAGCTTTGCAGGTGGCATCCGGCCCCAGGGGGCAAAAGCGTGGTTTGCCCAGCCCAGCGTCTGGGCCCCTGCCACCCCGAGGGCCAGCCCCCTCCAGACTCTGGGGACTTCGGTGTGGCTCCCGGGCAAGGCCAGCTCCCTGCCAGGAGCGGAGGCTTCTAGGAACCCGGCTGGCTGGCTGGCCGTAGGCCCCGCGTGCATGGGGCTCGGGAAGACTCCTGAGCCGTTTCTGGAGCAGAGACTCCAGGCCGGGCTCAGGGCAGAGCCTGCAGGCTGCCTGCCCTCCATCTTCCTTCCTCGAGCCTCCACTTGGCCAGGCGCACCCACTCGACCAGTCTACGCTGGGACCGGTCCCTGCCGTCAGGCCGGGCACCGGTTCTGCCAGTCTGCAGGGGGTAGGTGCTTCCGTGCCATCTTGGCAAGAAGGCGCAGGCAGCGCCCAGGACAGACTGGGCTCTCTGGGGAGGCTGAGCTTCCGGGGACCATTCGCACAGAGGCGGGCTGTGAGTGTGGAGGGACCGAGCATCCGATGGCCTTCCAGGTCTCCGGCTCCCGCTTGGTTTTACCCGAGGACACCACGCGGCCGTCTGCGGGCGGGGCCCAGGGGTCCGGCGAGAAGTACCTCCCCTGGACCTTTCCTTCCAGAACACGCACGTGACAGGCAGCTTGGGGCTGAGAGGCGGCCCCTGGAGCCAGCCCTGGCTCCCTCGTACGATATCAGAGCGAACCTCAGGGTGCAAGGCCTGACCCAGTCAGTTCCCTCCACCCAGAGGCAGAGGCAGCGAGGGCAGGACTGGACGGACGCCTCAGGGCTCCGTCCCAGGCCCCCTTTCCCCGCACGGACCAGCCAGGGAACCCCATTCCCTGTCCCCTCCGGGGAGGGCCCAGGGCCGTGGAGTCAGGCCTCCCTGTGGCTCCCATGCTCCCCGCCCCCTCCCCCACGGCCGCGGAATCTGGCTGAGCTGCAGCTCGGGTTTTTACGATGGAAAAATAAAATAAACGGAGGCACCTTCGGAGGGCTGAGTCACGGCAGCAGCATCTCCTCATTAAGGCTGCTGCCCTGGCTCCGGTCCCTGGGCAGGGATGGGGCGGCGCCCGCCTGGGAAGGCTCGGGGCCCGGCTCCTCCTCTCCCTACATCCTGCCAGGTGAGCCGGCGGCGCTGGCCCCTCGGCCAGCCTCCTCCTGCTGGCCCCCATTCTCAGGAGGGTCAGGCTCACTCCCCCCACCCCACCCCCTCCTCCCCCATCCCCAAGACCTCCTCTCTAACCCTGCCCTCCCCACGCTGGCTTTTAAACCTTGACCCACTGGCTGCAGCTCCTCCTCCTCCTCCTCCTCCTCCTCCTCCTCCTCCTCTTCCTCCTCCTCCTCCTCCTCCTCATCTTCAGGGGGAAGGAAGTTGCTCTGCAGTAATTACAGCTTGTGGGTCCCCAAGGCAAGCAGCAGCTGTGCTGGGATAGCTGGGCCCGGGTAGGCAGGAGGAGGAAGGAGCTGGGGAGGAGGGAGGGGAGGAGGAGGAGGAGGATGGGGGAGGGGAGAGGCTGGCGGCCC